GGGCCCGGGGGAACCTCAGTGCGTGGAGTGTCGGGAACTGGTAGCCGGTTCCGCGAGCTCGCGGGTCCAAGCGCCCATCGCCGGTGGCCTGGGCGCCTTGCCGTCCGCGCGCACTGCGAAGAGCCACCAACCTCGGCCCGCTCCGCTGCTACAGAGCTCCTGGGGCCTGTGAATGGCGTGTGCGCCTCTGCGCGTCTCCTGCATCGCGAGTGTTTCCTCCGAGGCTCCGGCCTTGGAGAAGACCTGAGGACACCCCCAAAGGAGCCAGCCTGCCATCCCGTGATCCTACCTTGTTTCCAGCACAGCTTCTCTCCCGCTGGCTCATCCCCTTGCGCTTCGGCCAGATTTCGCCTTCCTCTGAGCAAATGGCTCAGTCCTGACCCGTCTGGTCTTAATAAAGTCCCAGCCTGGAAACGGGTGGTGATGGGCGGGCGAGAGGGAAGAGGTCAGGCTCGTGGCTGGGGTCCCCTCTTTGCATCACCTGAGCTAGGGGCGGAGGGAACCTAGCCTCCTTTGACCCCACTGAACCTGTTGGCAACATGGGGGAGCGATGTGTCCATCCGGGGCTTAACGAAATCCAAGTTTCCCTGACGCACCTGGTGGGATCAAAGAGGGTGTTCCCGTGATCGCCTTTTGCTGCTTCCTCCCTGGGGTGTCTCCACTCTCCAGTGCCAACTTAGTACCAGTTCTCTTTGGGATGTTTTGTGCTAGGGGGTGTGACCTCCCCACAAAGGAACCTCCACCCCCAGGTTTTCCCCTCTCTCGTTAGTGGAACCTGTGACCAATGGTTCCTTTCCGCCCTTTTCCTCCCGGAAAGTGGCCCAGGGGGCTTTCGAGCATGGCTCTAGACCTCCCAGTGGGGTTTGGAGCAGAGAGGTGCCTAACGAGACAACAACGCTGGGTATGAAGCTCTTGGCAAACGGCACCTAGGAGCACACGTAGCAACCTAAGCAGGTCATTCCTTTAGACCAGGCTGACAATGCGTCCGCGGCCCTGCCTGGCTGCATCCCCTCTAACCCAGTACCCCTGGATTGTCCCAGCTCAGCTGCTGATTTCATCAGAGACTTGAAATCTCACAAGGGCAAGTAGAGCAAATAGCTCTCTCAGAACCTCAATTTTGGTTTCAAATACTGGATCTCCCTGGCTGGAGACTGGGAAACATTGCACCCCATCCAGAAGAATCAGGTTTCTGAAGAAGGGCTGTCCAGTGGGGTGGGGAATTGAGACCAATGTGTCTGGGGCCATTTCAGTCTGCCCTGTTCCATTCAGTGGTCCTCCCCCCTGCCACACCCCACTTAATCTTGTCTCAACTCTCTATGTATATAAAATCTTGATCTCCCTCCTACTCCTTTCCCACTTTCCATTGGTTATTGGGGCAATGTAAATGCAAACCACAATTCCACTACGCGCACCCTTTTCCTAAAAACAGTGCAGACCAGTCAGATACTTCAGAGAGACTCAGTTGGGGATGTCAAGAAGACAATGAGGGTCTCTAAGCATCATTGTGGACCTTTGTATGACAAGAACATACAAAGGTCATGTGGGTCCTCCTCCCACCTCAGGACGTGTGCTCCCCTCCCCCCCGGAATTGAAGTACACCAGACATACAGAAAGGTGCAAAAACTTTAGTGTACAGGTCAACACTTTGCGGCAAAGTAAATGTACCTATATAACCACCACCCAGATCCAAAGTTAGATCACTGCAGAAGCCCTTCTCTTCTTTCTTGGTCACTATCAGTCCCTCCTTCTAGAAGATAACCTCTATCTAACTCTATAGATCAGATCTGCCTACTTTCGAACGCTAAATGGAACCATTCAATGGATATTATTTTGTGTCTGGCTTCTCTTAATAATGTATTTGTGAAAGTCATCCTTAACATTGAGGTAACAGTAGCCCACACTTCATGCATTTTCATTCCCGTGCGGTATGCTGTTAAATGAAAATACCATAGTTTAGTTGTTAGCCTGTATATGGGCACTTGAGTTCCTTCCAGTTTGGGGTTATCAGGAGTAAGGCCGCTGTAACATTTTTGTTTAAGTCCTTTGATATACGCATGTTCATGTTCATACTTCTCCGAACAGAATTATTGGGCCATTGGTAGGCACATGTTTAGCTTCATAAAATACGGAATACCTGCCAATTTTCCTGCCAGTGTCTTGCAGTTCCAGTTGCTCCATATCCTCATTGACGCTTGGTATTGTCAATTTAAAAAGACGGAAACATTTCAGCCATCCTGGTGTGTGTGTAATAGTATTATGGTGTAAATTTGAATTTGCGTTGACCTGATAACCAGTGAGGTTGAGCACCTTTACATACATCGCCATTTGGCTATCTGTTCAAGCATTGTGTCTATTTATTTATTTATTTTATAAAGACAGGGCCTCCTGTCTTGTGATCCTCCTGTTTCATCCTCCTAAGTAGCTGGGACCACAGGCTTATGGCCACGCAGGACTCTTTCAGATGGGGTCTTTATGTTGTTCACCATCTTCCCATCTCAGCCTCCTGAATCACTGGGATTCCAGGCGCATGTCACCATATCTGGGATTGAGGTTGGACCAGGAAGCAAATCGGGCTTCCCATGTGGACCCAGTCTGCAGACCACAGCATTTTAGCAGCATATGCTACAGCAGCTGGCCCTTGTGTTCTTTATCAGTAGGCTTTCTATCCTTCTGCTTTGTAGAGTTCTTTATATATTTCAGACATGAGTTCTTTGTTGGCGATAGGTATGCAAATATTTCTATGACTATATAGGTACAGAAGATGTTGCTTTGGGGGTCTCCGAAAGCATCAAGGCCACTGGGACAAAACTGTAATATCTATTTTGATCACTAGAGCATCTCCTAGCTTCTGGCACATAGTAGGTACTCAACAAATATGTCAAATGAATGGAGAGTGGGATAGATAAGACTCACCTTGGGAGTTTGCTCTGTGCTGTGCTGATCCCTAGAGGCAAACACCAAGAGGGCTTCGGGGGGCATTTCCTTCCACCCCAGCCAGTTGTGACCTAGGGAAGGGGAAGGCACCCAAGTCCTTCTCTACTAAAAGCATTATGAACTGAAGGCCCACAGATGGAGAGGTCAGAGGCCACGGGTAAAAAGACAGGAACTAGCAGCAGGTAGCAAGCCAGCCAGGTTCTTCAGAAGGAGACACCTGATCTCTGACCATCACTGTGGACCTTTGATAAGAACCTCCAAAGGGTACATGGGCCCTCCTCCTGCCTCAAGACATGCCCACTTGAAAGGCTTGTTAGCTGAGAGCTCTTCTACACTTAAATTTTCTTTCCCTCTTCAAAGGAGGGCCCCTGAGACTTTGGTTGCAGAGTCTTGTTACTACTTCCCATTGGGGAGCTCTTTTGCAGATCTGGTTTAACTTCCTGTGACCTGTAATGACCATCCTGAAGATGGAAGTCCATTAAGTGGCTCTCGGCCCCTTCATGAGGTCTTTTCCCAGGCCTGTTGTATTCTGCAGCACTTTTCTCTTGCCTGCATTCTCTCCACTGCGCTTGCCTTCTCCTTCAGCTATCGTGTTGAGATCAAGTCTCATCAGGAGTCTCTGATTCCCATTGCTCTGGGAGAGAGACTTCCTTCTTACGACACCTTAAAAAACTCACAATGTCCCCACCCCGCATTCTCCAGAACACAATGTGTCAATTACTCGGAGACTTAGCAGAAGCTCCAGAAATTTCTATTTAGAATGAGCTTGGGGCAGCAGTCTAGATGGGGAGTGACTGGATGACATGTGATGAAATGGCATTTGCACAGCAAGCGCAGTGCTTCCACCTACAATATGAGTTTGCTGTGGGGAGGAGGGTGGTTGTGGGGAAAGGAACGTTGTTGATCTCTACTGGGGCCTATGGAGAAGCCTGTGAGGGAAGAGCCTCTGGGGCTTGAGGGGGTTGGGGGCAGCCTTCCTTAGTCCTGCTTGCGCTTGGCCTAATATGTGGTGCGTTTAGCCTCTGTCCTGAGGTCCTCTGAGCCCTGTGGCCTTTGTTGAGGGACAGCTGCTGTTCACCAATGGTTTCTTCATAGACTACCTGGATACTCATCCTGAGGCATCCTAAAACTCCAGAGCCCTGTAGATCCTGGACCCCCTAACTGGAGTGGCATGGTCACAAGACTGGCCTGACATGGCTGGAAACTTCTCTGTTGTTTGTTCTTCCGGGAGAGGGTGCCCCCTCCCGTTTTTCCCCTTGTTGAAATCCCTCCCCTGCTACCTCCCTCCCAGAGGTCAACTTCTTTCCTGCTGCCCAGAGCTGAGGTGACATCCCCTTCCGGCTTCATTCCATTCTAGGAGGATGCTGTGATGGGGGTGGGATGGGGAAGTGTGGCCACCTGTGCTCAGGGCTAGTTGCTGTCCCCACCCCCCTTAACTTTCCTCTAACCGAGCTCCACATTCCCAAAGCCCCCTGGATACCCACCCTGGAGTTCCTGTAGACAGGATGGCTCCAGGTATTTTGGAGCAGCGGTTCTGAAATTATGGAGTAGAGGTGGGAAGCCTTAGTGGCAAGCTGAGGGACCAACAGATGGCATAATGGTTACATCACTGGACTCCCACATAGTTGACCACAGTTTGAGTACCGGACCCGGTAGCTTAAAACACACTGGGCATGTGTGCATGTGTGCCCAAAATCCTGAGGGGAGAATGAAGGAGAAGGGATTGAGGCGTGGTCATCCCCCTAGGGGGGATGATTTCTTGCTTTCTGTCTTTCTCTGTCTTTTCAGTCAGTGCATGTATCCTAGGGAAAAAAAAAAAAAAAACCAAACCAAAAAACAACAACAAACAACAAACCAAAAACAAACCCTCTTTTAAAAAAATGTAGTGAGCTGAATAGTCTGGTGTACTTTAACTGTGGCAGAGAGGTCA